ACTAAAACTCCAATAATGTAACCAAAGGTGTAAAAAAATTACCTTAAAAAACTTTTGAATAGCTTGCTGTTAGTTAATAATCATCCTCGAAACATTGTCAAAGTGACAATAAAATGAAGGCAATATTATTCAAGAGCCCCCCGCCATATAAAAAATTACAAATCGATCGACATCGTGATTAATATTGAATACATTTAAATTCACTAAGCCCTTCTAGACTGTCGCCATATGAATTGACGGTAAAATTCGGAATTGCAATCATGCTTTTGAGAAATTCCAAGCAAGTGTAGCAACTATTATCAACGGCCCAGCAATTGGTCAACTAGCTCACATAACGAGGATACCGATGATCCCATTTGATCATTTATATGGCTTCAATTTCCGGTAGTCCCAAGGCCAAGCCCGAATTAGTAGGTATCGACATACGAAAGCAATATTTTACTGTGTGTTGACCTATCACGGGTCCGATCTCATATAGCAGCAGCAAAAAGAGGAAGAAGAAGAGCGAACTTTTTGCTGCAGTTTGGGGGGGTTGTACTGACGAGAATTTGTTTAGCTAATAACTTTTCTTAGAATTGACCAAATTGACCAAATAAACAACAGTAGATAATTATAAATAAATTATGTGTGCAAAGTTTGGTTTAGGTAGCATTTGAAATGTGGACGCTATTGACGAAATTCTGTAGCGGGGGAAGGGGGGAAAAATTCAAAAAAATAAAATAAACTCGTCCTTTCTCGGACCTAGGAGAATCTGGATCACGGTCACCCTTAAGGTACTCCTGGCAAATGCAGGCCCTCCCCCCGTTTCCGCAGCGGCCCAAATGACAAATCTAGCGGGATTTAAGTCAACATTTCTTTTTTAAATTCAGAATTTTTATATTTTATTATAATTGACAACACTCCTAAAAGCTTGGAAAAGCTTTTGTATGAGCTTTGCAATGCATTCCTGATCAACTGCGTGCTGTCAAAGTGAACATATCCGATGCGACGATTACGGGGGAGAGCGAAGGAAGGTTCAATGGTGCAGGTCCTTCAAATCAACTGGCAACATAGTAAGACAGCAAGTGCTGCCTTACTGCTTCGTCTGGCAACTGGCGGAGTGAACATTGTCCTAATACAGGAACCATGGATAAGTAATAATACAATCCTAGGTCTTGGTTTGTAACGACGCGTTGCGCAGCAACCAGCTGTGCGTCGTCACGATGCCTGAGTAGGCGAGTAGTTTTAAGAAGGAGTTTAAGTATTAGAAGAAATAAGTAGTTTGAAATTGGAATTGGAGAGGAGAGTTTTTAGTTCTGGTTTGGAAGTAGACAAACTCGCACTGAAGCGCACCCTCCTGTTTTGTATTAGGAAATTAAAAACCACGTGGAACATATTCACTTGGCGTACCGCCCTCTCTTATTTGGTGGACACCTTGGCACTAATTTATTTCAGCATAAACTCTGGCCGGCGAGTATACCCGCGGCAGAGTAACAACATTACAAGTGGCGCCCGAGCAGGGACCCCAAAGAAGTTTGAGGTTATATCCGACCAAGTATAGAGAGAAGCGCGTGGATTACGATGCTACGAATGAGCTGGATACGTGCGCTGCGGAAGGAAGAGCTCAGCGCGGTGTTGCGTGAGTTCGAAATTGAAGAGACCGGCAACGTGGAGGCGTTGCGGTCGCGGCTATCCACGTTCGTGAAGTCGGCCAAGGAAGAGTACCCACCCCGCCTGGACGAGCTAGCGGCGTATCATGAAAACATGTCATCGCGTACCGCAGCAACAGGCCAGTTGAGCCCGGTGCCTGGCGGACAGCTGGGAGTCCGGAAACAAGAGGACGTACGGGAAGGTCTACTCGTCGCGATAGAGGCAAATACGACACCAGCCGTGGCCCCGGTGCGAGCCGCGCCGCCGACTCCAGCGCGAGCGACATCACCAACTCCAGCGCCAGTGCCGACCATATCGGTAGCGGTCGCGGCCAAGCGACTCCAGGGCCCTCCACGGCAGACCTGACCCAAACCGGTACCGATTTGTTGGCAGCGCTGGCGCAGTACACCCACCGATTGGCCCAGACCATGGAGGATGGTTTCCAGAAACTGTCGAGCCAGACCCACGCTCCCACCACACCTGCTGCACCTGGTGCACCTGACGATGACAACCCAACAGCACGGACTCCAGCGCCACCACTCACGAATGCGCTGGTGGTGGCAGAGCAGCATGCGCCAACACGGGGACCCAAGAACGTTCCTTCGGGACCTGGAAGATAAGGCAGATATGGGCAACGTGCGACTAGACGATTTGATGACAGTATTACCGGAAGTCCTGGTCGGCGAGGCAAAGGAGTGGGAGTCGTCAAGGCGCAATTTGGCACAACGGTGGGTCAAATTCCGCCAAGATCTACTAAAAGAGTATCCAGCAGGCCCCCATGAAGAAGAGCGCCGGCATGAAGCATACAGCCGGGTCCAGGGTTCATCAGAGACACCTATTGAGGATGTCCGAGCGATGCGACGGCTGATGCGCGGCGCGGAGATGACTGCAAAGGAACAGCTGAGACTGTGGTAAGTTGGGCGTGTGCGCGAGCCAATGCTGCCGGCACACTCCGGGAAACGCCAGGGGGGCTCGCTCCACACCAACAGCCGGCGAGCCCACGCAGGCAAATTCCAATTAACAACAACACGCAGGTTAGCGGCCGCGCTATCAGTAGACTGTGATGGTTTACTATTCGAGGCGGTCGTGGATACCGGAGCGACTCGTAGCTTCGCGAGTCCAAGGCTGGCGCAACGCCTGCGGGTGCCAGACGGAGAAAACGTACGGTTCGTGAGCGTGACTTTGTCCATGGCTGACGGGACACAGAAGACGGTCCGTGAAAAGACGAAGGCAACGATCATGGTGGGCGACAGTCGCGTAGTACTGCCGCTGCTCACACTCCCCGGATGCGTAGACGAGCTCACACTGGGATTAGATTACGTCCATATGGCCTACGGGGCGGTGACTGTGGGCGGCCAAACTGTAGAACTGCGAGCGGTCGATCAACGGCCACGCAGGCGGCGGAGGCGGAACCGAAGGGCCCTGCATGCTCGCCCACATGGCCGGCAACAGCGGCCAATTCCGCAACGTCCTTTACGACAGCGGATGCAACAACGAGCCCAGCAGCAGGGCGCGAGCACCAGTAGCAACAGAATCCAGAGGATGACGACACGCCAGCACGCTGGTTTGGAAGTAGACAAACGCGCACTGAAGCGCACCCTCCTGTTGTGTATTAGGAAATTAAAAACCACGTGGAACATATTCACTTGGCGTACCGCCCTCTCTTATTTGGTGGACACCTTGGCACTAATTTATTTCAGCATAAACTTTGGCCGGCGAGTATACCCGCGGCAGAGTATCAACCTGACAGGTTCATCACAGTTTACCTTGTTTTCTACTTACGGCAAAGGCAAACCGAGGTCATGTATCCTAGCAAACAGACAACCTAATGCTATTTTACTCTCCCAATACAGCGATGCTGAAATAACATCAGTCAGTCTTAACACCAAGGCCAAATCATCCAACTCGCCCACGATCACCAAGATGCTACACCGCCACCACTGTTGAAATCCCTGGTGGAACCAGCAGTCTTAGTCCTGCTTGCCTTTATGGGATCTTAATTAAGTCCCTGTATATTGAAGACCTGTAGTCTTGATTTGAGAGTTGGCCTCGACAACTGGTAGTGTCTTAAACGTGATGTGTTTAAGTCTATGATAGTTAAAGCGAAAGCCAAGTGCTGTGGGTTTTACTGTGGTCTTTATTGAAGAATCCTATGGCTTACATAGTATTTGGCGTCGTAAATATGCTTATGTCTAATGTGCTATTGCTGATTGCGTAGTGCCCTCTGTGCTAGATGACCTATTTGTTTTGCTGCGCTGCGTGAAGTGTATTGCCCTCTGTGCTTGATTTGTTGCATGTGTCATCGGTGCTAGTTTGCGTATTTTGTGTATATGCTGCAGTTTGGAGCGCATTGCCCTTTTGCTTATGCTGCACCTTGCTTGATGGTTTCGCACGCTGCACTAAATTGCTTCTTTGAGCGAAATACATTCTCTGCCGCCAAATCGCCTTAATGCCTTAATGTTTTCACAATGACCACTCGTCTGCCCTGCCAGGTTTGCGAGGTTTCTAGTACCACTGAAACGTGGTGGTTGCGGGTTGAAGAAGGGCATTCCTATTCAGTGATTGGTTCCTTCGGAACTGTTGGTACCGACTCAGGTGTGTTTTTCTATGTTGAGCCTTTAGTGCTGGCTGACCATATGTTTTTCTTGGTTCAGATTGTGACGTGGTGCTAAAGTATCATAAAAGGCATCAAAGAGGGCGAGTGATGTTTTCCGTCTCTTATACGATTGTTGACGGTGCTAATTTTGGCGAAGGTTGCGATGGTTGCATTCGGATGAAGGCTTGTAGAGAGGGTCCTCATGTTTTCCGTGGTACCTTCGAAGTTGCTTATTCGGGTGTGGCCTTTATGTTGGATCAGATATCATATGATGCCTTTGTTAACACATAAATTTGTTGTATATTTATTTGACCTTGTGACTGTTTCATTGATGCTTGGTTAAACGATTGTCGTTGGAATTTGCTGTTGTAAGCAATTTGCAGGCTGTGGCTTGGCTAGTGTACGTGTCTCGCTGGATTTACTGTTGTCAGCAATTTGTAGGCAGCGTGCTATCTCTGAACCTTCGTTCTGTGCTGTGGTTTGAATTTGTGTGGTGCTGTGTATTTGATGGTGGTCTGTATCGCTCCGCTTATTTACGCAATATTCATTAGACACTGTATGTTTTCAGCTGCTGGTTTGGATTCTTGCCCAGGTGCTGGTGTGGGCTGAAGTGGCACTGGTAGCTGGTCGTTTATGGTGACACTGTTCATCTTGGTTTTTATAAAGTGCCGGTGGTCCATCCCGATGGCGATTATCGCGAGACTTCCGCTGATGACCAAGGCGGTATTAGCTTGGACCGTGCTGGTGGTTGACACGGCTTCGTCGTCAAGGCTTGTTAGTTGTAGTTGTTGTGGAGCTCGGTAAACTGGTCGGTGTTGAGTACTTCTGAGTTTTCTTGCGTACTAATAATTTCTTGACTTTCAGGTTTGTCCAATTGTACATTGCCAAATGCTGGGTATGCTTCCAGCATTTGGGATCTCACCGTGGGAGGAGCGGCCAGTGAGTATTGGGTGCCCTTTAGGAAACAAGTAGGATCGATTTTCAGTATCGCGGTGTCGTGTAGGACTAGGTTTTCTTTATGGGTATCGCAGACTGCTGTTACGTTGGCCGGCTCCTTTGTGGAGAAAATCCAGGCGTTTGGGACATGTAACTGAATCCAGGTAGATGTATTTGTTGTTTCTTCCAGTGAACATTGGGTTCCACTTTGGTTTAGAAAAAGGTTGAGTTCGCATTTCCATATTTGGGCTTCCGCAGTAAATGTCATTTGCTGCTTTGGGCATACCAAGACATTGCTATTCATGCGATGGCATTTTGCCATTTGTTGCATGTTTAGCATGAAATACCGATTTCGATAGTCGATGATGACACGGAACTCCGCCTTGCTGGTGACTTGTTTCAGTTGATTCTCTGAGGTGCGAAACTGAATTGGTTTCAACTTATATGCCATGAACGTCTCGACGTCAACTAGGGGTAGTGTGATGGCGAAGATTGTCCATGTAGCCTTGGTTTGCATGAGCTGGTAGAGTTCTTGAACGCTCTCTCTATGAGTTGGTACAGCTGTTCCAGGGGGCAAATTTGCCTTAATTCTCTCTAGTTCTTGCAGGAGTTGCCAGGATGATAGTAGAAGTGAACTTGGAGTCTGTGAAGATGTCGAACATCATGTCTTCGGTTCGACGAATCGTCATCAGCAGGAGTGTCAGTTGTATGGCAATGTTGGTAAACTGCCAGTTTTGAGCTTCTTGTCTTCCGTTTTCCTTGCTTATGGCATTAATTTGCTCTTGCAGTGCTTGACGGCGAATGAGTTTTGTGATGGTGTCGACCATGGATTCCGCGTATTTTGAGTCTAGTACCCCGAATAGACCGTTTGCAATGTTACCTATAATGTCCAGTGGTGACCGACGATGCCGTTTTCCCTTGAAGATGGCCTGATTGTGCCTGAAAGTTTCTAGTTCATGGACCAGGAATGTTGTCAAACCTTGACATTTGTGATTCTGGTAGGCGGTGCCGTCGCACAGTTTCTGTAGAATGGTGACTCCTTTCTTGAATGTCTCCATGTCCTGCCAAAGTGGCTTTAAGTCAAAGTAGCTTATGGTTTTCCATGTGGATACAGCAATGATTGTGGGGGAGAAGGCTTCAAAGTAGATGCCAGGTGCTTTTGCTAACTGCGTTATGTTGATCATGTCCGGCTTGGCGTTTGTTGGTGGAAATAGTGCTAGACCCACCAGGAGCAATGTTGTTAGCACTGTCGGTAACGTAATTTTTCGCCGGACCGGCGGCGGTGTATTTCCTTCTTCAGTGGGTTGATTGGTTAGCGGTGCCAGTCTGTGGATGGGTCGCCGACAGACTCCCTTTGCTGTTTTGACGTCTGCTATGCGTACGTGTCCGTCGGCTCTTGGATGAATGTCTTGTACTCGTGCCATTGGCCATTGAAGTGGTGGAACGATGTTGCCGTTAGTCGCCCTCCAACTCTTATTATTTGGTTGTGATCTAGGAATGGAGCTTAAAGGAATAGGGCTTAAAGGGGCTGTTAAGTGGCTGCTTGCGTGGACGTCTCGTCCATCTCGGAGTTGGGCTATTTCTGGTGCGAAATGAAGTGCTTGGATTCCTTTCACTAATGTGTTGGTTGCTCTTTGTAATTCCTTTGGAGTCAAGCTAGGGTGCGAGGTGTTCCCCTTGGGCAGGTTTCGTGCAGTGTCCGCGAACAGGTGCATATACGCAATTATTCGTAGAGCTGTTTGGAATGAGTTTCGATGGTTCATCTTATGGATCCAGTGTGCATCCGCCTTTATAGTTGCTGTCACCACTTGAGCCTTATATTCGCTGTAGTCTTCCATCGCCATTCCTGTTGAGTCCCATTTGGGCCACTGGTCTTCTGCTGCATGTAGGAATTGTGGCCCTTGACTCCACAGTGCATGGTTTGCGCTACACGGGATTTGGCGCACAGCAGCTGCACACTGGGTGGTCTGTGTGGGTAGGTGGTGCGCATGTATGCGACTGCGCTGTATGCTCCTTCCGATGCGTCCACGAAAATGTGAAGCTGCATCTCCGTGTTGTGTTGGGCCTGATAAATACACCTTAGGAAAGACACCTGGTTGAGCGCTGGAAGGTCCTCGCGGAATTCCTTCCATTGTGTTTCTAGCGTGGGCGGTAGAGGTGTATCCCACTTCGTATTCTGTGACCAATTGTTGCAGCCCTAATGGGTCACACACTCTGGCAATTTCGCTACATACGATTCATTTGGTAATTGTTGTGGTGGGGCTGGTGTGAGTTCGCCCTTGCAGCCTGTCGAGAGCAGGATTCCAGAACACTTCTAATGTCTTGATGGTAACGTCGCCTGTGTTCCCAAGTTCAAGGTCTACTTCTCGGTCGGTGGCTGCCACTCCTTTTAGTAGAGCAGGTTGATTTGAACACCACTTCCTCAGAGTCATTTTGGCTGCCGACAGAATTTCTTATAACTTCTGTTGTCGTCGTAAAGCATCCTCGATGGTGCTGGCTCCGGTTAGGCAGTCATCGACGGAGAAGTCTTCTTGGAGGGTCCGTGCTCCTATGGGATGAGTTCTTTCTGCCTGCTGCGCGAGCTGTTGTAGACACCGTTTGGCGAGGTATGGAGCGCATGCGGTACCGAAAGTTACAGTGTTCCACTGGTGTTCCACGGTTCGTTCTCAGGCACCGTGTCTAGCTGCCAGAACTGCTCCATTAGTGTAGCCAGGTGTACTGTTGGTCCTCTTGTAATTGCTCCCACGCAAGCTGGAGCCAGCTCCTTTCGTGTGTCGACCATTCCTGATATTATCCATCCGAGTTCCGTACTTTGCAGCCCAACGCCAAGTGACAGTTGATACGGATTCATCAGCGGGTGATAGAATTCGGCTCCGATTAGTAAGTCGATTTTACCTGAGCGGTGGAAATTCGGGACAGCTAGTTGAATTCCCTTTGGGATGTGTATTATGGCCTTGTCCATTGTTGTTGCTGGTTGATTAGGAACGATGGTGTCTAACGCTAGTGCTTCTACGTTCACAGAGAAGCTGTCATCTGCTGATGACATGTGGAAAATACCCCTGTCAGATACCGGTTGGTTGCAGCTTCCAATTCCCATTAGGCGAGTGTGGGTCTTGTGTGTCTGGATGTAGAACTCACGTCGTAGAAGATTTGATATCAGGTTGACCTGTGATCCTGAGTCTAGCAATGCTCGCACTATCCGTTGTTGTCCGTTGGGTGCTGCTATCCGTACACGTGCGGTTGCCAGCAATACCAGCCGCTCGTCGGCCCCTTTCTTGTGTTACTCCAGAATCAACGTGCTGCTGCACAACCGCGAGAGGCGTGTTTGGGGTATAGACCATTCCTGTTCCAGTAGCGCCAGATTGAATTTGTACAGTTTCCTCTGCAGGACATAAAGAAGTACGCTGTCGGGATCTAGGCCTACTTGTCACAGTGCGCTCGGTGACTTGACGGTGGTGTTATGTAGTGCTCGTATGGCCCTGGGGTCCTTTGTCGCCATGGGGTGTTCCATGAATCTCTACAACGCGGCTGTTGTGATTGCCATAGGGTTTTGATAGCGCTGAACTAACGTTTCCCAGGCCACTGTGTAGTTTGACGCTGTTCCGCTAAAGTGGTCGATGAGTTCCGCTGCTTCTCCTGTTACGCAAGACTTTAGGTAGCACATCTTCTGGACATCTGGTAAACTGGTCCTGTGTATCATCTCTAAGAACTGATCATTGAATGCTTGCCAGTTCACGTATCGTCCGTCGAACTGTGGAATTGCGATTTGCGGCAGCCGGACGGCCATGTCGGTGGTGGGCTGCGTGCTTGCTGTTACTGCCTGGGGGCCCTCTTTGCATAGAATGTCGTTCAGCTGCTGTTGGAACCTTAAGAAGAGGGGTTTTCCCAGTTTTCCCTTTCTGGGTTTTCCCAGTCGATGTCGAGTGCATCCCGCTTGTCCTGGATATGGTTCCACGCTGTCAGGGCTAGCTCTTGTCTCTTTGCCAAAGTTGGTTGAGCTGACCAGCTCTGCACCATCATCTCAAAGGCGTTCAGCTCATAGTTGAAAGAGGCGACGCCCGGAGCTATCACTCTAGTTGGCGTCATTCGTCCTGCTTGCAGCGCCGCCAAGTTGATCAACTCTTCCCCAAGGTTCGTTGGGGCTGCCGGCCTTGAGGAGGTGCTGGCTGGAGGAACCTGCAGATGGTACCCTGACTCGGAGGTTGTTGCTCTTCTTTCGGGATCGCGACTCGGGCTACGGCTGGCCCCTCTGGTTGGCGGCTGCTGGAACAACTCCAGGTACCGCTGGGACTCTTTCTGCATGTGCTCGTATAGCAGGAAATACTCATGCTCGGCCGGTAGCTCTTCTGTGGCCATCAGGGCGCTGTGAGCCTCTTCCAGTTCCCAAGCCTTGCAGCCGACGGGCCAGGTTTGGGTAGTACTCAGGCTTGGACTTGCGCTCCCAGCGATCCTTCTTGTAATGGGTTATGAGCCGCTCAATCTCCTCGACTCTGCCTCGATGTGCTTGTATAGCTTCAGACTTGTCGACTTTCGACATCTTGTTAATGTTCCTCTGAGTTACGTGCGCAGTGATTGTGATCCTGTATCAAGGATCATGTCGGGGTCACCAGTGTTTAATCGCCAAAGAAGTTCCTATTGAACTGGTTGCGATTGAAGCCTATAGCTTTGACTAGCTTGTTCACCAACACTCGTTTGCTGTGGTGTTGCTAAAGCAAAGGACCGTATTGTCCTGATAAACGGCAATCTGGTCCGTTGATTGGGTCAAACTAAGTTGTTTGTAGGTGGTCGCCGCAGGAGTCTTGGTCCTGCTTGCCTTTATGGGATCTTAGTTTAGTCCCTGTATATTGAAGACCTGTAGTCTTGATTTGAGAGTTGGCCTCGACAACTGGTAGTGTCTTAAACGTGATGTGTTTAAGTCTATGATAGTTACAGCGAAAGCCAAGTGCTGTGGGTTTTACTGTGGTCTTTATTGAAGAATCCTATGGCTTACATAGTACTTGGCGTCGTAAATATGCTTATGTCTAATGTGCTATTGCTGATTGCGTAGTGCCCTCTGTGCTAGATGACCTATTTGTTTTGCTGCGCTGCGTGAAGTGTATTGCCCTCTGTGCTTGATTTGTTGCTTGTGTCATCGGTGCTAGTTTGCGTATGTTTTGTAAATGCTGCAGTTTGGAGTGCATTGCCCTTTTGCTTATGCTGCACCTTGCTTCATGGTTTCGCACGCTGCACTCCATTGCTCCGTTGAGCGAAATATAAACCGTATGCATTCAATAAAGCTTGTCCAAAAACCATCCTCAGGGAAGGCCGTAAACCACCCTGGTGGTCACCTGAGCTTGAAAAACTAAGAACTATAATCCAACCATCTTCACCGTCACTACTGCAAAGGGAGGACGGCAGATGCAAGGAATCGCTGGACCTGCTAACTGGCACTCATTTTCCAGGGTGCACCGATCGTCCCAGTACTTCACACCCCCCTCTCTGCGTACACTCGTATCGTCACCGAGGATCGCATAATCC